CTTGAGTTCTGACATTACTTCTGAACGCATTTGAAAAGTACATAGTTAGTTTAAAAAAATCCAAACAAGTAACTCCCTTACACTGTCTAACAAATTTATTGGCCTTTGAAAGGGGAGGGGGAAGACAGCCTACTGGGACCTTCAGCGCAATCCTTCTAGAAAAGAGAAATGATGTTCACTCATGTCCCACTGCAAGATTTCCCTCCTGCAGCTCCTCAATCTTACAGAAAGTGAGGACTCATAAAATTCGACAGAAGAGCTATTTCCTACATTTTGCACACATAGATCAAAAAATGGCATAAATTTCCTTAGCATGAAGTGGATGACAGAGGAGAAAGCCTGCAACACCTCAGAGAGGTCTTTTTTAACTTATAATCTGCGAATGTAAAATGGACCTCTCCCTGGAGGTGGTTAAAGCATTTGGATTTTCAGGTGGAAATAGGTACACTCCAATAGCTTCCTGGTATAGGAAGAACTTGAGAACTTCACATGCCTCCTTCAGCTCCAGTGAACTCCTGTGACCAGCTTCCTTGTTGACTGTGGAAAAAGCCCCTGTCTCTGGGGAGGAAGTAGCTCATCAAGTAAAATGTGACAGGGTCTCCTGATGTTTTTCTAAGCCATGTAGACACTTTCAGCATGACTTTTCATACACAGCTTTATATGTGATAGAGAATCACTCAACTCTGAACCTCGAACTCATGTTGTCTTCTATGTCCTTAATATACCAAGTTCAGGTTGGATAGGGCTGTGAGCAATCTGATCTACTGAAAGATGTCCCTGCCCATAGCAGAGAAGGTGGACTAGTGGATCTTTAAAGATCCTTTCCAAACACAAGCATTCCGTGATTCTAGGATGCTATGATTCTACGATTCTACAGTTCTATGATTTAAAGGCAAAAAGCTGGGCATCTAAAACATTAGATGCCTAAGTTAAAATGGTCTAGTATTTTTAAACAATGCTTGTACTAACTTTAGAGTACTCTTTGGACATGAGAGTGATAACCTAAGGATGAAAATCTGAAGGGAAAGATTCAAAGCCTGAAGTTCAATGTCATATCCTTGTATCCAGCACAAGCATTCCATGATTCTATGATTTTATGATTCTATGATTCTACAATTCTATGACTCAGCACAACATTCTAATTTATTTAGGAAGAGGTCTGTAAAATGTCTGCTTAACACAAGCCAGCAGTGTGCCCAGGTGTCCTGGAAGGCCAATGGCATCCTGGCTTGTATCAGGAATAGTGTGGCCAGCAGGAGCAGGGATGTGATTCTGCCCGTGTGCTCAGCACTGGTGAGGCCTCCCCTCGAGCCCTGTGTGCAGGGCTGGGCCCCTCACTGCAAGAAAGACACTGAGGGGCTGGAGCGGGTCCAGAGGAGAGCAACGAGGCTGGGGAAGGGACTGGAGGGAAAGTGCTGTGAGGAGAGGCTGAGGGAGCTGGGGGTGTTCAGCCTGGAGAAGAGGAGACTCAGGGGGCACCTTATCACTCTCTACAACTCCCTGAAGGGAAGTTGTAGTCAAGTGGAGGTCAGGCTCTTCTCCAGGGCAACCAGTGACAGGATGAGGGGGCACAGCCTGAAACTGCGTCAGGGGAGGTTTAGGTTGGATCTCAGGAAGCCCTTCCTCACAGAGAGGGTGCTCAGGCACTGGGATGCACTGCCCGGGGAAGTGGTGGAGTCACCGTCCCTGGAGGTGTTTAACGAGAGGCTGGATGTGGCGCTTAGTGCCGTGGTCTAGTTGTTCCGATGCTGTTGGTCATAGGCTGGACTTGATGGTCTCAGAGGTCTCTTCCAGACTCAACAATTCCGTGATTCTGTGATTCTGCTTTAATATTATCTAAAACGATCTCTCTTCCTTTTGAAAAGTGAAGAGGCAGAAGGATGAGAGAGGCTTAGCATACCTTTGTGCCACAAGTCTTTGTAGCAGTTCCTCCCTCTCCAAGACAGGGATGAAGGAACTACTGTTAACTATTTTCCAAATTATCCTGACAATATTTCTGGAAAATACAGTGAAATGTAATGTCTCCTCTGACAAAAGCACCAGAGGTTTCCAAAAGGAACAAGCCATCTACCCAGGAGCAGTTTTTAGGACATTAGGGACTTCCAAATATTCTTAGCTCTTTTTGATTGTATTACAGACAGGATATGGTTTTTGCTGATGTACCACTGGAGGTCACTCATGTACTAATAAACAGTACAGTACTGGCTGCTGCAGGGGAGAAGGTCGTTTCATAAATCATCCAAGAATGAACTCTGCTTGAACTGAAGATCACTTTTCAGTGGAAATGAACTTGGAAATATGCTGTGCTGATATTTCTCAAATTTACAGCATGATATATTAAAACAAGCTAGTAAACTAATGGTTTTTAGAGTTTTTAAATAAAAAAGAAAAAATCAACATTAGAAAGCTTTGATTTGATCTAGCTACGTTAATGATGAAAATGCAACACTTCTCTTTGCCAAAGACAGTAAAAATAAGAAAAGATAACCACCTCTAAAAATGCTAACCAAAGTCACAGTTGGTGTGACAAGAAATTGGAAACAAAATGATGTGTAAGATAGCAGGTGAAAGATTGCATGAGAACTGTCTCACTATGACATTTCAGACAGGAGAAAAATTGCAGGAAGATGTAATAAGCTCTATTTATAAGACTTGTTTCCTTATCGCTGCTTTCTGTTAATATATTTTCCCACTCTTAACATTCTGTGATTCTGTGATTTTCAAACCTTTCAAACTTGGAGGGGCTGGTTAGCTCAGTCAGTTGAGCGTGGCACTAACAACGCTAAGGTCGCGGGTTCGATTCCCGTTCAGTCCCCATATGTTGCCTGATCTAGTCGAGGGGTGGCGTCCCTGCCCATGACAGGGAGCCTGGATTAAAATGATCTCTAAGGTCCCTTCCAGCTTAGGCCATTCTATGATTCTCGGCATACCTTTGCTGGAATTGTGAGTTGTAAAGAAAAGGAACTTGTTAAAATGCTTTCCTTTCTCTGTAAACTAAAATTTGAGTACAGATTTCTTGCTCTGAGGTGAAGATGAAAAAAATGCAGGTTTTGTTTCAGTAATATCAGTACAATATCTCTCACTCCAACCAGGACAAAATTCCCAGAGAGTGTCAATTAAATTCGAACAGATACATATGTTAATAATTATGGTATTACTTACATACTATCAAGGAAAAAAAAGTGTTTCGGAGCAGCTTTATTCACCTGCAGAAGAGAAAAGCTCTGTCTGCAGCACTTAGTGCTTGGTACAATACTTATTTATACAATTTATTTATTTACTTACTATTTATATACTATTTTTATACTATTTATATACTACTTACTATTATATATCCTGGCAGCTTATAGGGGGCTTCTGCAGCTGCTATCTCCTGCCAGATGATTCCTGATTGACAGGTCCTTGATTTAAAAGAAGCAGCGTTCAGTAGTTACCTGACAGCTGATTAGAGGGTGCTGGATTGGTTTACACGTGCTGTGTAGGGATGCTTATTAAGCTGGGAGACAGGAACACAGCAAGTAGTTTTTGGTAATTTGTGGGGGTGCTGTGGAAAAGCCGAAACTTTCCTCCAAACAGTGCAGGACAACATAACACCAATGCTGATGAGCTCCTGGGCCTGATCTCCAGCACCATGAAGAAAGTACTCTTGAGATGTCAGTGTTGGCAGCCTAGACAGGGTTTGGGCACGGGTTTGTTGTGTCTGAGTGTCTCATAGGGTGATGGGTTCTTCTCCTGTGAGAGGTGTGTAGTGGTCTAGGATGTGAAGAAGGATGCATGCAGGCTGCTCACTACTAAAGAAGGTAAATGGGATATCAGCAGGGTCTCCACAGTGGCGAGAGCCAGAGCCTGAGGTGAAGGCATGTCTAAGGGCTGGATGGAGCGGTGGATGGGGACTCCACTGAGGGAAGGTGCTGAAGTTCATGACTTCTGGCATCAGGAAAAATGGTCCTCCTCCCTGCTCAGACCTGAATGCAGAGGGTTGGTTTGAGCCCTAACAGCTGTGGGAGGGGAACAGGTGCTGCTAAGGAAAGCTTTAGAGCCAGCTGTGCCCAGCCTGAGCATGCACAGCAAGTGGCAGCTGTTGGAGATACCCTTCAAGTAGGGAATAAAGGAACCTGTCTGATGATCAGACATGTTGTCATTGGAGGTTTGTTGTTTGGTAGATGCCCAGACACTGGATGTTGTAGAGAGGTGGCCACGGCTTATCTGGTTCCCTGTACCTCTCATCGCTCATTGGCGTAGCCATTGGTAGTACTGCTGAGGGACACAGTAACTGCAGGATTCCGAGTGGCAAAGGACATGGAAACTCACAGGATGTCACCTTGATCCTCCATGGGAAGAGCTTCAAATCTCTGTGCCCAGAAGAAGAGTTCAAGGAAGAGAGAAACTACCAGCAGTGGGAGAGGATTTGAGTTTGCTTCTGCAAACTCGTGAAGATACAACTTCACGAATCCAGAATAATCCTACACTGAATTCAACAATGGATAGCTGTTACATGGAATAAAGAAAGTTGTTGTGAAACTGCACACTCTGAGATCATATTTTTCAGACATATATATGCCAGAGAGAACAGTGACATAAATATTTATTCAAAGTATCTTAACTCAGCCTTTTATGAATAGAAATATTACTGGTTTACCACAATAAATTATTTACTCAAATTTCAGGGGTTTTTTGTTCTTTGTCTTTAGTCGTATACAATTATTCATCTTCCTCTGATTCATCCTCCTTATCCTCTAAACTAGTAGTTCCTGTAGAGGCAAAGGCAAGACAGGACATAGAGATGCATTTTATTATAAAATACTGGAAAGGAATCCTAAAACATAATTCCAAGACTATGCTGTCTACCACAGTTCTCCTTCTCCACTGCTTTTCATTGCCAGTACTTGAATTTAACTGTCATACATTGTTTGTCAGCTGTCAGAGAGACTTGGTACACACATACTGACTGCCAGTCAGCCCATATGTAACTCTGGAATAGCCAAAGAATGTCTCCTATTTAGACAATGTCATAAGAAACATGGAGCAAGAAGGATGGAATTCCTGTATGGAAAAAAAATGACAGTAATGCGACAGAGAATACAAGCGTGCAAGAAAACAGATTTTGTTACATCTGCTCTTCACAGTATGCACACTGTCTTCAAATCATTTCCTCTTACCGCAACTTAATCTTGATAAACATAAAGACAAGGGGGACAATATGTTGCCTAATTAATTACGGATGTAGACCTATGCTGAAAAATGTCTAAAACCATCCAATTCTTTGATTCTAGAAATAAAGAGCTGGAAGGAACTTTGAGAACATCTGTCACACTCCTATATTTTCATGCATTGGTATCTGCATCTATCCTGCTTCTCACAGATACTTGGGTCCATTTGCTCTTAAAAAAAAGGAAGGAACCCCAAACAAACAACAAAAAACGCCCAGTGGGGATACCAGAACTGTTTCATTGTAGTAGGCCAGAAAATTTATTAGAATCAAGTTCAGTCAAAATGGCTATTTGAGTCCAAGGGACTTTGAGACAAACTCGGCTCAATGAACTTTTGACAAATCTAAAGCAGAGCTATGCAGGAAACCTGGTGAGATTTCTGCTGGATCTGTTCTAAGCCCAGGAATCCTGTAAGATATCTGTCCTGCGCACCAGATCAGCTATCTGGCTAGTCTGCCCTGAAGCAGGAGGGAACCTTCTGAGACGATGGGTGAAAAATGAGAGCAAACAAGCTCCAAAAATTCCAAGAGCTGACCTAAATCTTTAGTGTGTGCCTTCAGGCATTTTCACAGGGCTTAACAGCCTTTCTGATACCTACGGATATCTTTGATTTATTGTAAAAGGGACTCATTACAAACTGGCAAATTTATTTTATGTTTTCATAAATCAGAAACATAAGCTTATAAATGTTAACACTTATTAAATATAAACAACACAATTGAGTGGAGGCCTATAGGCTAAAAATGAGCAAAGATAGACATATTTTTTGTTGCTTCTTAGTAATTTTTTATTTAAAACAGGATCATGAACTGCCTGGAAGAAAACCTGAGCATGTGAATTTCAAATCTCTTTGGTTTGTAGGAGAAACAAATCAACCAGAGAGTGTTCAAATCATAATGCACAACAACACCTAAGACTTGTTTCTTCAGATTTGTTTTGTCTGTTTTTTAAATTCAGTTGAGAGAGTAAGAATACACAGTTTCATCTTGAGAGAAAAGTGAAGTGTTCAAAAACCCCCTGAATTTCCAGGGTGTGAAATCTCTCTCATTCTTGTACAAAACCAAAAAAATAATGTTTGCAAATGTAATCACTTAAAAACTCAGAAACCAGTTTAAATGTACAGAGGACCATCCTCCTGAGAAGCAGAGATCCCCAAGGTCTCTTCAGCCTGGTAACAGATCTCTCATCAGCAGCATCACTTCAGCTGATCGACACACATCAGCTCAAACCCTGATTGCTAACTGAAGCATGGCCACACACATCCCATTGCTCACCTTGATCCTCCTGATCTTCTTCTTCTTCTTCTCTGCTTCCGGCATCATCCTCTCTTGCATCCTTTTCTGGGCTAGAAATTTCACTGTGTGCTTCATTAAGAGAAAGCTGATCAACCCTACCCTCTGCAGACTCATCAGTGACTGAAATATGAGAAATTAGAAATACCGAAGAAACATGATTTTACAAATTTGCACTGAGACATTGTTTTCATGAAGCAGCTACTAACTCCTATTGAAGTCCGAAGTCTTTACTCACATGAGAAATACAAAAAAATATTCTGTAACCATTTATAACCACTATTGTATGACAGGCCATGATCTAGACTAAAATGATTCACAGGCTTCCCAAGACAGTTGTATTTCATTATGCTATGTGAGACAAAACAGACCTATATATATATTGTGCAGTTAACAAACAGACTTGGAATTACCTGACATTTAATATGTGGTAAATTATAGAAAAAAAAAAATCACCCATAACAAGAAGCCAAAACTCTCATATCACTCGCTATTAAACCTGAAAAACACGGTTTCAGGGGATAGTCAAAGTATGAAGTTTCTAGCTGTCCAGCAGAACAAACCTTCAGTTGATGGTATTCTCTTCTCTTCGGTTACTGCTGCTCCTTCTTCCACTGCTTCTGCTTCTGCTGCTGCCTCTAGGGAGGGTTCTCTGGGAGGAAGCGGGTTTTCTCCATGGGGAGTCCAGAGTGTTAGTTTGGTAATTTCTGAGGCTTTCCATTTTGGTGTAACAGGTAATGTGGGTTCCTCCTCCTCCTCCTCCTCCTCTTCTCCCTCTCCTTTGTCCTAGAAGACAACTCATGAAATCCAGCATCTCGTCTTAGAGGTATGACAGGAGTAACTAAGAAGATGGTTTTGTGTACTAAAACCTCTTTATCTGGCCTCAAACCAACAATGGTATGGCCTTGTAAACTATTTGCAGGTGGTGCCACAAGTCTTGGAAGAGAACTGTCCTTTGAACCTTGATGAAGTCAGTTGACTATTACTAATGATCAATGCTTGCTGGCCTGCTTTCCTTAAGGTAAAATATTGTCTTTCCGTGAAACAGAATGGCTGTGAGACACCTATCAACCCTTGTCTACTCTTCCGTGCTTGTCCACAGTAAAGGAGCAGCACGTAAGATTTAATGCTCTGTCTGGTAGATGCTACATTGTCTAGCTCATACAGAAACAGGGTGGCAAAACAGCTCTTTCTGCCTCAGTCTTTGCTTAGGAAAGACCTCAGAATGGATCTAGGAAGCAGTAAGGTACTGCATAAAGCTTAGGGGTTTGAAATTTGAAGATAATTTTCTTTAATTTTAACATTATGCTTTATTTTATCCAAATATGAAGAAGTCTTAGTAATGGAATCATTATCCGTATCACAGGTTAGTGTTTTGGTTTTTTTTAAATGGGCCTTGTTCTTAAATTACTTCAATCAATGCAAAGGGGCAAAATTTATTATTACTTTAGTAACAGCACTGTCTCTTGCTTTACACAGTGTCTACAGCACTCACATGAGAAGAAATTATTGTTCCTGAGAGTAATGATTTTGTGTCCAAGGGACTTGAGACAAACCAGGCTCAATGAACTTTTGTTAAGCGCTTAACTTTGTTTATTTAAATTCATGTTTAAACTCTCGCACTAGTGGCCTAATACTCAAAAATCAGAACATCCAACAATTCCTTACTGAAGTGAGGATACTAGATACACATCACTTTGGATAATTACATGAATCTGATACTTAATTTGAGGATCTCTTGCTTTTAGCCAAAAAATCAAAATAGTGTCCATCTTTTGCAAATCTCTATAACTAATGATGGGGGGTTTTATTATTATTTTGTCCTTGTCTTATGAAACAACTGCTGCATTGGAGAATTTTCAAAGAGTCTGTAATGGGAGCTAACGTGTCAGAAAACAGAGGTAACTAAAGCCAAAATGAAATCAGAACACTAGTATTAAGATATATTTCTTATAGCCATTTAACATCATATTACTCAGAAATATTTCAAAATATTCATGCATGAAGGAGAAGGAAAAACAGGCCCCGATCTCAGCTTCTCCCTACAGTTATTAGGAGCTGTGGATATCAAGCTCCTAACTGGCCCAGGACAAAAATGGGACATATTTCCAAAACACAAATCTGCTGGAAATTACCATTTGCATGGATAGCATCAAGCAGTTTGGGAATATAAGGAGAAACATTTTTCATTGTTTTCTGGTGTTCAGAACAAAATGTACAGAGAAATTCATCTGCATTCTTCTGTGCAGAACATGGTTAGAAACTTCAAATGTTTTGGGAAGGTCCTGATTCTTCTAAACTTTAAGCAGAAAGGACTACTGTTCGGAAGTAGGGCAAAAATCAAGCCATGTACTTGTCAAAGTTTACACAGTAGAGAAGCTAAAGAGAAATGCAAAATAAAAACCCATTTAGTTCTTAAGAATGCATGCATTTCCACCCTTTTTTACTGGTTAGAACTACTTTAACATGAGTGTTTAAAAGGCATTTTAGAGATTACTCAAAAATAGATTGACTTAGTTCTCTGACATTCAGTACAATTTGCATTGTTTCTTTTACCTGTATGTATTCACCATGCTGTTCACATCCAATATCAAAGACATATTTGCCACGACCTATGGGCTGCACATATATACAAAAAATTCATCAGAACTATAAAGGTAGCACATTCCAAGAATATACATGCAAAATATGCTTTACTTCAAAATTCATACAATAGTCAATAACAATATAGTTTGAAATCAAAGTTGGAGAGCAACTTGGCATTCTGTCCTACAGATTCATTCAGTTTCTTACGTTGAACTTACAGTACAAGAAATACTATAAAGTATTAGGACCCTAGCATATTATTTTAAGTGGAAAAAGATCCTATTAAGGAAATTCCATGCTAATTGTTCAGATGAATAGAGAGTTTTCCGGCACACTTACCTTTCCATTTGAAAACTTGCCCTTAAATCTATGGTTTAGGTGGATAAGTTCAGCTTCTCCTTCCTGGTTTCCATTTACCCAGCTACCAACATACTTAGATCCTGTGTCTTTATAGACATATGTACCTTGCCCGTGCCTAAGGAGAAAATAATAATTTTGGTTTATATTGCTGAATATTGAGAATTTTGGTTGTTGTTATACTTAAGATATTAAAACTGTATTATTTAAGTAGCTGAAATGACTCAAGTTGTACTACATTGCCAAAGTTATCCAGCAGTAGTTGATCTGCCGCAGTCAGCCACACTTTGAAAATAACCTTTGCATTTTAATGACACTGGGTGACATAAAACATCACTGTAAGAATGAAACAAACCTGTTGTGGTTAAACCATTCTCCAGTATAAGTGTCTCCATTTGGATAAGTATACTCTCCATAGCCATGTCTCTGGTCATTCACCCAGTCTCCTTTAATGACAATATGATAAAAACAGAGTGAGACATGGTTTATTTCATGTGTGATATAGTGATCAGTTTGTAAAGTAATCACATAGAAATTGTTAGAAAAGGGAAAAAAAGCTATGACATCATTGTGATTCCTTACCATTTCTTTCACCATTCCTTACTCTAAGCCCTTGCTCTTTTTTCTTCTCTCTGTCCCTCTCCACACATTATTTATGCAGCTGCCTGACCTTCCTTTCCTTTTGTCCATCATCATCTGTCTCCATTATCACTTTCCATTATCACTATGAACACAAGAAGCCATGTAACATCTTGCCCCTATCTTTAAATTTGGTAATGTATTACAGTTGCACATTTTCACTCAGATAAAAAGAGAGACTACCTTAGTTTGAGTCCTTTGCTAAAACTGTCCTGTCAGTCAGGGGGCATATATACTCAAAAGGATGCTAGTTTGTGTGTCTTAATTACCGTTCTGCTCAAACTTAAAAGAAGTTTAAAATAAAAATAAAGTCACAAGTGCATATGCACCTGTGAGGCAAGATAGGAGCTGCTCTTTTTGTTCTCTGCCTCTAGCCCTCACCATGTGAATATTCTTCCTTGTCTCACTTAGAAAGGAGAGGGGGGAAATATTGTCCCTTAAAGCCTAACTGATATGTAGTGTTCCAGGTGCTTTCCTAGAAGAAGCGAAACAATGTGAGCTTCAGCTTCTTCGAACTTCAAAAGCATCCCAATCCCTAAGTAAATGCTCTGAACAGTAGACTACTTTTTAAGGACAGATCTAATAGAGTCCTAAAACACTTTATACTGAATTCATCTGTGGTTCTAATCATTATTCAGAAATAAGTAACTATATTCTCTTCTGTCAAGATTGCATTCATTTGTAAAAGATACTTAGTATTTCTCAGGACTTGGAACACCCCACTTGAAAGGAGGGCATAACAAGAATAAACCTCTACTGAGTACCACACTGCTCACAATAACTGACATAAATCCCATAAATAAAATCCACACTTGTCAGAGCTTGTTGTAAAAGAAGGAATAAAAAGAAAACATTTAATAGCAACTTCTTTAAAATAATACATTCTCCAATTCACTATCCCCTTGCATTCAGGGGGAGGTGAGTGAGGGAGAAATTTATCTCTTCTGATACAGAAAAGCTCGCAATTGTGCTCAGTGTTTTACCTTCATATTTTGATCCATCTGGATAAAAAAAAATCCCACGGCCATGCTTTTTGTTTTGAAGGTATTCTCCAATGTAGAAAGCACCATTTCTAAATCTGTAGGTCCCCTGAAACATATGCGATATAGACAAAATATTTGTCAGTCCTCATTCTTTTTTCACTGTAGTGATGAGATCTGCTGAAACATAAGCACAACCACTGTCTTCTGCCACCATCTTACCTTTCCACTTCTGAAACCGTGTTCATATTGCCCATCGTATGTATCGCCATTAGGTAGCTCTGCTTTTCCATGTCCATGTCGCTCACCTTCTGCATTGCGTTCACCATCATACTCCTGATCAAACATGGAAAAAAAACTTGTTTAAGAGGGCTAGACCCAACTAAGTCTAACTTCGTTAGACATTGGCAAACAGGTCTTTGCTCAAAACTGCTCCAGTTCAGCTTGAAACAGAGACTGCAGGAGCACTTGGCCAACTGGTGCACTTCTTATTATACAATCTATAATCGTATAATCATAGAAACACAGAATCATAGAATCATAGAAACACAGAATCATAGAATCATAGAATGGCTTGAGTCCCAACGGACCTTAAAGACCACCTAGTTCAAACCCCCTGCCATGGGCAGGGACACCTCCCACTAGATCAGGTTGCCCAGAGCCCCACCCAGCCTGGCCTCAGACTTCTAGGGAGTGGGCTTCCACAAGTTCTCCATGCCACCTGTTCCAGTGTTTCACCACCCTCATAGTAAAGAACGTCTTTCTAATGCCTAGTCTAAATCTACCCTGCTCTAGTTTAAAACCATTGCCTTTCATCCTGTTGCCACATGCCCTTATAAAAAATCCCTCCACAGCTTCCTGTAGCCCCCTTCAGGTGCTGGAAGGCCGCTATATGGTCTCCCTGGAGCCTTCTCTTCTTCAGACTGAATAGCCCCAACTCTTTCAGCTTGTCCTTACAAGAGAGGGGTTCCATCCCCCTGATGGAGAGCAGCCCTGAAGAAAAAGAGTTGGGGGTATTGGTGAAAGAGAACTCACCATGAGCTGTCCCTGCAGCACTCCAGCTGGGGTCTTACCAGAGCAGAGTAGAGGGGCTTATGCAGACACCTGCAGCAAATCCTGGCACCCCGAGGCTTTCCTGCCCTCCCCACACACCGCTGTGTAGTGTGGATGGCGAGTTGGAAATAAGCACGGACGGCTTGTTTTCACCCAGAGGAGGGAGCCAGGCAGGCCCCGACTGACACGCTAAAGCCCCACCTCAGGAACTCCCTTCGCATGAGGTACAAGCACCTCG